TCAGACATGTAATCATTCTCTCAGCTCTTTCCAGACCTTTTCCTATTTTCCAAGTTGTTTTTTGAAGCGTAAGTGCCAAAATTGGACACAGTAGTGTGTGAAAGGTTGTACTGGTGCCACGTCTGATATTTTCCTGCATCTTTGTCCAAGGATACTGTTCTCTCCTACTGCTTGTTTTCAAATGCTCACCTCTTCTTCTTCTTGTCATGCTGTTGCCATATGTGATCAAGTTTGGGGGTCCAGTTTTGGCTACATTAAAATAAAACTTACTCAGATGAGTCCTCTTTAAAAATTGATTTGTCTTCATTCGTCATTTAATTTTAACACTTTACCAATAGCTCTCTCTTACTTTCTTCCACATCATTGTTTAATGCTAATGTTGAGTCTAGATTCTGTTGGACTCCATTGAAAAACATCTTCGTTGGCTTCCGAACATGTCTATCTCTGTTTTGACATGTTAGCTACACATTCAATTCAGTTGTTGCTTCACTTATCACACTTCAGAGCTGTTACTTTTTAGTTTGGCTGAAACATGAACTTTAGAAGAAGGCCATTTATATTATACTTTTTCATCTCAGTTCAAGTTTACAGAGCCTAAATGATCTGTTAACTAATTAAAATATTTAAATATAGCATTTCTTGATTTGATAAAATACACTGTTCAGTGCATACTGGTGCATTTAAGGTTTACCCTCAAAATACTAAACAGTTTCTGAAGTAGCATCTACGATTAGTAACATTGTCCATTTGTCTAAATTCCCAACTGAATAGTAAATGTGTAATTTTTCTTGTGGTTTGTTAACTCCAAAATCAGGTTGTTTGGTTTTTTTTAAAATGCATTTATTAGTTAGTCTTTATGTGCTTAGTTTATATGTGTGAATCATTTCAAAATGTCCTATAACATGAAGAGACAAGAATATCTGTAGTGTTGTCATAGAGTCATAGAATAGTTTAGTTTGAAAAAGACCTTTAAGATCATCAAGTCCAACCATTAACCTAACCCTGCCATCCCACCACTAAACCATGTCCCAAGCACCTCGTCTACCCGTCTTTTTAATACCTCCAGGGATGGGGACTCGACCACTTCCCTGGGCCGCCCATTCCAGTGCCTGACAACCTTTTCTGTGAATAAATTTCTCCTAATGTCTGGTAAGACTTGTGCTCCAGACTGCTCACCAGCTTTGTTGCTCTCCTCTGGACATGGTCCAGCAATGCAATGTCTTTCTTGTAGTGAGAGGCCCAAATCTGTACTCAGTATTCAAGGTGCAGGCTCACCAGCACCGAGTACAGGGGCACGATCACTTCCCTACTGCTGCTGGCCACACTATTCCTGATACAAGCCAGGATGTCAGTGGCCTTCTTGGACACCTGGGCACACTGCTGGCTCATATTCAGCTGGCTGTCAACCAGTACCCCCAGGTCTTTTTCCGCCAGACAGCTTTCCATCCACTCTTCCCCAAGCCTTTAGCGTTGCACAGGGTTGTTGTGACCCAAGTGCAGGACCCGAAACTTGTCCTTGTTGAACCTCATACAGTTGGCCTCCACCCATGGATCCAGCCTGTCCAGGTCCCTTTGCAGAGCCCTCCTCCCCTCGAGCAGATTGACACTCCCACCCAGTTTGGTGTCATCTGCAAACTTGCTGAGGGTCGTTATTCACTTAGCACAATGCAAACAAATGCATTTGCAATGTGATGATAATGTTATTTATTTGCCACAGGGGCCCTAACTATTCTTTATAAAATCCTTATGATTTGAAAAACTTATTTATTCGGCAGCAAAGCTTAAATATATCTTAAAAACTTGTAAATCCTAGAATCAATGACAACTGCAGGAGTTAGACTGCAGTTTCAAGCCTACACTACTTTTTTTAAAGTTATGAACATTAGAGAAGGTACAAAATTGAAAGTAGGGTGAAAGCCAGAATGAAGATTTGGTAGACTGGTTAAATCCATTACCTGTTCTTTTCTCTGCCTTCTTTTCTCTGATCTAGCATATGGAAGGAAGTGTTAAACCAGCTTGGATAAGAAATAGGTCTTTTGACTAGTGTGCCTAAACAAGTGTTTTATTCATCTGAAATGAGAAATTGGTGCAAAGTGTTCATAAAATGTGTCTGGATGCTTCTTTAGTCTTCCTCTTCCGTCTTCTGTTGTGCATCCCATCCACACATCAGGATTTATTTTAACAAAGGTAATGTAACAAGACACTTTATATTTAGAAATTGGATCATTTTGTCTTTTTTTACTGTGAAGGCCCTTCATAATGCTACGTGTATTCAATTAAAAATGAACAAACTAAACATAATTTTCTGAAACAATGCATTAGCGATTACCCATTCTTGCTCAGAATTCTTTGCTAGGGTTATCCAACTCGTTCAAGCTCGGAATTCAGTCTTAAATCTCATGAAAGCTCCTCTTTTCTTTCACTTGAATAAGGACCTGTTTTCCTTTCCATGTGCATACAAAGTAAGCATTTAGACTAATGGAAGTAGTGTTCTGGATACTGGTTAGAAAGGGACTTCAGTGTGCTTTAACTAGTTCCTTGCTTTCATTGTTAGACTCGGTTACTAACTTGTGCCACAAAAGCTTCTATATGCATTAATGGTAATGTTAATACCTTTGCTCTATTTTGCTAAGAGAAGGGAGGAAAAGAACAAAGGCAAATAATCTCAGTGGCTTTCCTGAGGGCTTTGTAGTGTGCTTATTGCTCTATTTTATACCTTCTCTTACTTGGAGGAGTCGGTATTCTCTCTCATGTTTTGTGTAAGTTTCAGTATGCCAATTCCATATATATATATATATATATAGTGTAGAGCTGTATATATATGTGTGTGTTATATGCGCACACAGGAACAGAGTTACAATATGATGGAATATTTAAGTTACTGTGTGGGAATTGGAGAATGATTTCTGTGAGAGTCATTGGTAGGTCTAGCTAGAGCTGTAAATCTTTACTAAGGAGCCTAGTCTCAAATGTATGTAATGCATTCATATTCTTGGAAATTAAAGGAGGTATTACATTCTTTCAATGTAAATCAGGAACTAAGAATGGTTTATAGCCCTTCCTTCTTGCCAAATCACAGCAGTACTGTTTCCCCCAAGTCTCATAATGAAACTCTGGATACATAGCATAACCATCGTCAGAGTCAGCCAAGAACAAAAAGCAAAACAAAAACAGCTCAGTAAGTGTATGAGAAGAAAGCTATTACATAAGCAGAAATATTGGATATTGGCAGTTTTAAAATGTCAGATGGTATTCTTGTACATTCGAAGGTATGCTCTCTTGTAACTTTTCTTGTTACATCAGTTAATATTTATGGTAGTTGTATGAGTGTGTGTGGAAGAAAATCTATGTCCTTAGATTGTCTTTACACATGTTCTCTTGCTTCACCACAACTCCCATATTTCTAATCGTTCTGTCATGTTGCTTAACAAGACAATAAGTCCCTTGTGTCACATAGCATAGAACAAAGAATTGTGTTACAACCCAGTGTATTAATGCAATTTGTTGCAGGTTTGAAAAAATAAAAGAACTTCCTTCTGCATCTGATTATAGTTTCTTGTTCACCACCTTTGGCTCAATTTCCAGGGCTCTTCGAAGTGGATTCCCAGAATTTCTGTATCAGATTATTTGCAAGATTTGTTTCTAGCACTGTTGTTCTGCTTTTGTACTCTGTAATTATCTGGCAATGGTGACTGGAGAATCAAAAGCTATATAACCCCCTGTCTCTGGCTGTGTGGCCTTTAACAAGTGTCAGAAATTTGCCAGCCTCTTGAGATTGCTTTTGGGCCTAAATCGCTCTGTGGGAATAGTCTGTGGGAAACAAACAAACAAAACCCTCTTGGAGTAGTTACATCTGTAAAAATGGTAAGTATCACTAGTTTACTCTCTCATCTCAAGCACCAGCCAATTCCTGCATTTTGCTCTGGGAAAATTAGTATTTCTGTATGTGTGAATCTTTATCTGTATCATTCTATGTGTTTATCTGTATAGCTTCATAGACAGGATATAAAAATGAAATCCCTCTGGCCCATGTGGTCCCTCTCTAAAAATAGAAACAGTTACCCTGTGGTACGGCTAAAGAACAGAAACTCCTTTATTTGAGTACATGTCGGAATGAAGTTTGGGTGACCAGGTTGCATTTTGCTTAGATGTTTTATGTGGGGGTTGTTTGTTGTTTGTTCTCCATTGATTCCTTCCCCTCCTCCCCAGTTCATGCATACCTCAGCAGCCCAATTTTTACTTAGAAAAAAATAGCATGAGTTGTAAACGCTCCAGCAAAAAGAAGCTTTTCCTTTGCTCTTTTTCATACCTCGGTTATGTGTCTTTAAGAATAGGTAAAACAGGTGTGAAATTAACATGAATCCCAAGCAGATGCTGTTTAACATGGAGATGAAATATTTATTTGACCTCATGCAATTGAGTAGTCTTATTTATAGAGCTATGGCTGTACTAAAATGTATGTTGGTGATAGGATAGCCTACTCCCAGTGAGTTATTTTCTAAGTCTTCCGCTAGTAAAATAGGATGCCTTAGCAGAAATGCTTCTCCAGAATATATTCCTATTAGTCATTTTAACCATTGACTTTTTAGCACAAAATTTTTCTGTCTCTGCTCTAAATGCTGGATTACAATGCTGCTTTTGGACCTGATATTAAGCACTGAAGACACTTTAATTTCAAATGAAAGAAAGACTAACTTCAGACTTGTTACATTTTGAGATACTTGCATGGGAAAAAACCCCCAGAAATTAGGTACAATGCAATTTAACTATATGGTACATGTTTTGTCACCTGACTACTCCTAAATCTGTTCTGAGAATAAACTGAAGTTTAAGTGTTCTCTGTAATCCTGGCCTTTGCTTCCCCATGCTCCCTGTTGAGATAATGGTGTTCTGTATTTATTCATTGAGCCATACAAAATATTTGTAAATAGGTCACACAGTTGTTAACCAGTCTGGCAGCTTGGCTTGCTTAACATTTTTCTTTTGCCCCCCAATTCTAGGAAGGATTTCTGTGTACATAAAGACGAACCATGTGATACTGTTGGTAAGTAAACAAATGTAAGAGACTGTGTGTATAAATCACTTCATAAAATAAACGTTACATAAATAGAGATGTGAAGCTAAAAGCTCACAACAGCATCCGTGATGGATGGATAGCTGCAACTAGCTAAAATGCAAAACACATCTCAATGCCACTAAGACTTTGTTAGATTCGAGTATGGTCCTAGCAAAATAATATGCTTAAGTGCAATATTTCTGTCTCTTTCATAGAGCAAAACTTTTAAAAGTTTTTTTCTTTTTAATCTCACTGACAGTTTAATACCAAATCATTTTAATGTTCTTAGTTCAGAATATGAAGCTAAACAAATGTGTTTATGATTATTTTTTATGCAATGGATTTAACTTTGATGAGAATAGACCTGTGATGTTAAAAACAAAGTTTCTGTAAGAATATAATATAACATAGTAGGGTAATACAGTGTTTATGAACTATATAACTTCTGAAGTGTACACGATGTGAATTATTATGCAAGGCACCTTCTGACATCTTCATTTAAAGTGAGTGCTAGCTGCATCCAGTTTTTCTATCAAAAGTCATTAATTTAGTTCACACCCTTTTGGGAAGACAGTCTTTCAGTGTAAAGGTCTGGTGGAAAAGGTAGCAAAAGGTAGCAATTGTTCTGTTCAGTCATAATTCTGGGTAAAAACAGACTATGACACTAAATGAAGAATGTCATGGAATGTTTTTACCCTAAAATTTCTTTTGACTAATAGAAGTCTTGAACAGTTCTATATGTAAATACAAGTATTCAGAACCTAAATTGGTTCAGTAAGATTAAGACGATAGTTATTGTCATGCTTATACTCCCTCTCAGGTAGGAGAGAAGTAGAAATTTTTATTTTTTTCCTGTTTAATATCCGTGGCAAAGGTTTGAGGAAGATTCTCATGTAAACTGTATTATCTCACTACTTGCTAATCTTTTTTTTTTTACTGCTGTATCATCCCAAGTCTATGTGAGCATGTCTGTGGGGTGGATATCAATAAAGAATCCTCCTAAACGAAGAATGGAATGTTTCTCACAGTGGATAGTGGTTAAGAATTTGTAATGTTCTCCCACTAATTGATATCTTGGTCTTAGGTGAATTTTGTATGAGTGTTTGGTGCTCAGTTGTGTTTTCTTTTGTCTTGTAAGTGGAAAAATGTTTCCTTCCAGCTGAAAAAGGAAGCAATGTGACAAGAAGTCTTTAGCATCTTATGCTGATCTAAGCTAAAAATCAAATCTGGAGTACTTCCAGTATATCTAAATCAGGATAGGCTGCTGTCTGGATTTCACAGATGAAGTGAATGTATTCAAGGATTTTCCCTGAAAAATATTTCCTCCTTGGTTGAATCTTGGAGGTAATAGAATGATTATTTATCTCTGAATTTGTCCATGGAATTATAAGTGAGATAAGTTTGAACTGACTCAAGTATCAGTCATTCACATATCTGTGATGAAGAAGCTTGGCTGAAACTTGAAAATGAGGCAGTGCATTAATCGTAAGTGCACAGGAAGTAACAGGTTTGCAGCTTTAATATAGTGATAAGGAAAATGAAGGAGAGGCCTTGGCTGTCTAATTTGACATTTTGTGGAACATCTGTTGCAGGCTATCCAACTCTGTGTATTGTTGTTTAGAGTTTCCTTCAGGACTTGAAACATAGTTCATATGTGTAGTTCTTTCCATATGGCTACAACTGTGCTACAAAAGCTAAGGTCATTGATTTCCTGTTGTTCCATCAGTTATTATATGAATGTAGTCATTAGTTTTCCAGATGAATACAGCACCTTTCCATAAATTCAATGTATCATTTCTTCCACGCACATTTACAGTACTGTGGGTCCCATGCTCACTTTTTAAAAGATAATGTCTTTCCGAAGATCATGTCCACTATCACCTGTGAACTGCTCTAAGGAAGACTGTTCAGAAAACTAGGGAGGACTTGGTGCGTTTCTCCTGGAAAGAATTTTTAAATAGTCTTACTAGCATGGATATATTATGTCAGTATTTTTATGATTGCGGGTTTATATGCAAAATTGTTGAACGTACATGTAGGAAGATGGTGGTTTCATTTTGGCATCTTTTCTTTTGCTTTTGCCTTCACTAGGAAAACCCAAAGGATGATTTGTAGTCTTAGATTATGTCATGAGTAAAGGTTTGCTGAAAGGTAGGGAAGAGGAGTTTGATCTTGCTATAGATCTTCATGCAACATGTTTATAGGCAAAAGAAGACAGCACATTCCAGGGATGTTTCACATGCTATAGAATTTGCCAGAGAAAGCAGATGAGAAATGCTAATGTAGTATCAACTGTACACTTCCCAGCTGTCCAGAGCTTGACCGTCCTTCCCCCCAAAAGCCCCCAAAAGAATACACCACAATACAGGTTTTGGTCTAGCATAAAGACAAGGCAATTCTCTGTGAAATGTTAACACAACCACACATGTGCGTGGTGATCAAGGTGATCTTTGTAGCACATTACACAATCCAGAAATGAAAGTTGTGAGACAGGATCATTTACAGGACGGACCTCATTATTGGAAAGGGTTGTCATGTCGGATCATAGTTCTTCCCGGTGATGGATACTAAACAGACAATACTGGATTTATTGTTTATTCATTAAATGCCAAGACTCACAGTTTTCAGACTGGTCATGAATACCCACTTAAGCCAGATGCAGTAAGTGCCAGTATTCTGTTATATAGACAAAGTTTTAATGTATTTACGTGGCAAATAACACATTTTGCTATGCTTCTGGTCTTGTTCTACTCAAAGTACAGAGCTTATGCACTGTTCAGTTAGTACTTTTTTCATTGTCTCTTAAAATAACGGAGTGATTTATATGAAGATTTAATGGATTAAAGGTAACATTAACCAAGAACTCTGTTAACCAGAATAAAATGTTTACTCAAAATCAAAAACGTGTCAAAACTCTCTAGAAATATGTAATTTCATTCTTGATTTTGAAACAAAATCCATGGTGCCAATCTTTCAAATATTCCTGCACAAAAGCATTTGAGGTGGACAAATACAAGAATTTTTTTCCATAATGATAGAAAATGTATTTTGGAATGTTTGTGAGATTTTTACATTCTTACTCAGGAAAAAAACCTGTGACTCTCTTGGTCATCAAGCACAAAATGTATTAACACTTCATATTTGATATTTTTAAAAAGTAGGCAGAACTAGAAGAATTAGTTCTGGAATTTTACTCAATTTCCCAAAGTGTGTTGAAGTTTAGAACGTCTTTGTTTTATGCTTTTCAGAGCTATCATAAGTATTATACTATTCCTAGAAGTGTTTGGAAAGCTCTGCTGTAGCCAGGGGAGTTGTGCGGCTACTTTCTTACTGCACAATGTAAATCCAGAGTAACTCAAATGCAGGCCTGCCTTGATTAATCTCACGTTTCTGTAAAACAATAAGCTAAAGTCTCATGCGGTATCAGTCAGCCCAGGTCAACTGATTTCAGCTAAGCTATTCTGGTTTCAGCACTGTCAGTTGTCAGAGCCCCCATGAAATTCCTTCTGGGTGGAGAACCACGAGACAATTGTTTTAGGCTCAGAATCGACAAGACCCAAATGTTCTTAAGCTTCCTCTGGTTGATTGGCTGCAGCACTCTTTTTATTTTTTTCCCCTGCTGTTATGCTCAAGTGTATGCTCCCTGTCTCTCCTATTCCTGCACAGAAGTGAGATCCTGTTGCTCTGACACTGATTCTCACAAGCTCTTCTGTGGCTGATAGAGAGGTTTCAGACCTTGCTTTACTGTACATTAGGGACATACTATGGCTAAAACAAAGGGTTTGTCTGGGAGTGGAAGAATATAAAGAAGTTTATATACAAATTAAATTTACTTTACCTAATGAGAAAAATGGTTTTGATGTGTAGTTGTGCATGATTTTTCCCCAGAAGACAGCTGGTTCTTGGGATCATAGCATTTCTGTCTTCCAAAGAGGTTTTGTTAGCTTAACCAAAGGGACCTATCTTTTTAATTTGTGGCGATTTGGAGTGTTATTCTTTTTCTTGTGCTGTAGATAGGTAAAATTAGGAGTGTAGATGTCTCAATGAATTTACATAATATGTAGAAGTAGTTCAGTTGTCAATTTTCAGAAAGCTAAGCCTCTACTAAAAGAATTAGCATGTAATGCAAACTGGAGTCTAATATATGCTGCACTCTTCTTGTGCATGCATCTTCTAGGATATCATATTTAAGTAAGTAAAAGGAGCAATGATTCATAGGGCAACTCATTAGGTGATTATTGCACAAACCTTACTACCAGCATAGAGAAATCAACAGATATTTTCTGACTGCATTCAAGGATTAGGCTAACAAATAAACACAGGAAGACTATTTCTTGAAGCAAGTGTTTGCACATTCCAATTTCTCTTCCTTTGTCCACCTGTCCACTGTAGCATTTGAGATTTTGAGTCTCTGAGAAATACTTCTTTTAGATTACATATGTTGCTTGCTGCTAGCTAATGTCTTCTGTGGAAGCACTATAATAGAGAGCTCTTAGTGTGAAATGTTACAGGCATGGGCAGATTATAAAATGATGCTCGTCTTGTGCTGGCATCAGTTTGGAGCCTCATTGATCTGCAGGACCTGAGGTAATGACTGTTTTGAAAAGAGGCTGTGTCCTTTCTGGGACTGCCCTGCTTGGAGGCTGCTCAGTGCTTTGGTTTAGTATCCCTCTGCCTCCTTTTCCAGTCTTTCCTTGTGCAGGCAAAGTGACTCAGCAAGTCTCAGCACAAACATGCAGTTGTGTTTACTGGAAATTGTGATTGTTTACTTAATTAGCTGTAAAATTTTGTTTGTGGCTTCCATGAAGCTCACTATTTGCATCAAAGCTGTGTGTTCAATTGATGAGTAGGTTCTAGCAGGGTGCTTGAGAGCTTCTGATGCCCTGGAAGTGTTCATGGATGCATAGTGCTGTTCTTGCAGCAGTACCATCTCAAAATGGTTTTCAGAAGGTGTAGGAATGAGCATGATTGCTACAGATGGAAATACT